TTACAGTCTTATTCTTTTGACTGTGCTGCTCTTTATTAATAGGCTATAGCTGGCTTGGTTCATATGTAAATACAACACATTTGTCTATTATTATCTCCTTTACAGATGCATGAGGTAGCGAATGAATTACAGAAGTTCAGGTATTAAATAGAGGAGAGTTTAGTGTCCATATCTCCCTTCGCAGGCACTGCTACACTTCATTACAGTCTTATTCTTTTGACTGTGCTGCTCTTTATTAATAGGCTATAGCTGGCTTGGTTCATATGTAAATACAACACATTTGTCTATTATTATCTCCTTTACAGATGCATGAGGTAGCGAATGAATTACAGAAGTTCAGGTATTAAATAGAGGAGAGTTTAGTGTCCATATCTCCCTTCGCAGGCACTGCTACACTTCACTTGATAAATCGAGGTACTGTTTGACATACATTGAATATGATCAGGACAAATGTGTTATCTAAAATCTAAATTCTAAAGGTATTGTCCACGCACCGAGGTACAGTTATTTTGTTAGCTTTGATTGTCATAACATTGTTTTCCTAAAGATTCGGGCCTTTAAACCACAGATGGTTCTCCATTAGAGGAGGGAGGTATGGGTCATCCAAGTTATGTTCCATTTTATCTCATTATCACTCAACTATACCATATAAATCCAGGCTGCATTCTAAAAAGATGCTATTTATATCCTGCTGGGAGACAGCCAAATGACAAATTGCCCCCTGCCCCTTGGAGAATTTCTGTTATCAGGACACTTCTTGTTGATAACATAGCTGGTGTGCCTGCAGCCTGTCTGATCTGTCACTGAACTCACCACCTTTTTCTGTTCTCTCCTGGGAATCATTAATACACTGGGGAGAATGGTATAAGTTATAACTCATCCCTGTATAAGTTTAATCTATTAAAACAGTTAACATACACATAAAGGGAGGTTTTAAATTCATTTTTAGTGGAGTTCTTTTACTTTTTTAATTGTAGTCTAGAGGATATCTTTGTGATTTTGAATAACATGTTGAATATGCGCATTATTATACATTTCTGAACTTGTGCTCAAAGTAGCCTGATGCTTTGGCAAAAAGGGCTAATCTGATACTAGGATATATTAATGGGAATATTGATCAGGAGTAAGATGATACTATCTCTGTCAATGGCACTAGTCACATTACGACTGGAATACTTTCTCCACACTTTTTAAACAGAAAGGTGCAAAGTTTGAGAACATTTTGGAGGACAGCAACAACAATGATTTGTGGTCTGGAAAATGAACTTAACGATCACAGTGTAAAGGCTGTCTTTGCTAGTGTCCCCCCCCTTTTCTTATTGCCAATTGATACATGCTAGTTAATGTTGTTATAAAGTCTAGTTTAGAGATTTCACAAATATGTGAGGTTTATACTATGTTGCTCTCTAAAGAAGCACAAGATATTTAGATTATCAAAAAAAGGTTAGCTAATTATTTAATCATGGTCTATAAGTACAGGGAGGGAGAAGATATTTGCTAATAGCAGGCTCTTGACTACAGCAGATGTAGCTATCACATGATCCAGCAACTGTAAATTGAAGTCAGTAAATTTCAAATGAGAAATAAGATACAAACTTTTAGCAATGAAAGTTATTAACCATTAAAAGAGATTTGGGGCATGGTGGATTTTCATCCTTGGTATTCTTTAAATCAAAACTGGATGACTTTTAAAAAGATACGCTAGTTGACTTCAGTTTATTGGGTAGCTGAGTGATGGGCAAATACCGGCCTGTGGGCTGGATCTGGTTCACCAGAGTTAGCCGCTAGCAGACCCCTGCACCTCCACTGGTACAGGTGATTGCAGCTCCGGTTGGCTGTGAATCGCCGTTCCCAGCCAATGGGAAAAGTGGGAAATGGTGTCCCAGCCCATGTCTCCCTCCCCGCCCATTGGCTGGGGATGGCGATCCTCAGCCAATGGGCGGT